TGACAGCTAATCTACTGAAGCTTCAAGGCCTAAATGCTATAAGTAAAGAAAAATTTGACTCGTTAAAGCCATCAGATTGTAAATTCCCGCATATGTATGGCTTGCCAAAAATACACAAACCCAATAATCCTCTACGTCCTATACTGTCAATGTGCAAATCCCCAACACATAAACTTGCTAAATGGTTAGTAGAATTATTGCATTTAGTCAAAACACAATTCTGTAAGTATGTGTTAAAAGATACATTTGAATTGATTGATTTTCTTGACAATAGTAATATTAATATTATGAATAAGAATATGTACTCTTTTGATGTAAACTCGTTATTCACTAATGTGAATTTGCTCAAAACAGTTGACATTTTGTGTGATTATATTTCCACAAACAATTTTTTCACCCTGTTCCCTATATCTTATTTAAGGGATTTATTACTTCTATGTACTAACAATGTTAGGTTTACATTTGAAGGTGATTGTTTCCGCTAAGTTGATGGTGTTGCTATTATGGGAAGTCCGTTAGGGCCCCTTTTAGCAGATATTTATATGTCGCACATTGAGAATTTATCGGAGGATTTAATCGAAAATGTGCCACTTTATAGAAGGTATGTAGATGATATTGTAATCATCAGTGATAAGTCTTGTTCTGCTACCTCAATTTTAAATCGAATGAGTGAAGTCCAAAATAGCATATCACTTACATCTGTAGAAGAGGAAGATAACTGTTTATCTTTCCTAGACATATTGCTTAGTCGACGGCTTGATGGGTCAATAAAAAGATCTATTTATAGAAAACCTACCTGGACAGGACAATATCTTAATTACCACAGTTTTTGCCCTGTTCGGTACAAAAAAGCCTTAGTAAGATGCCTCTTCAGTAGAATCCAACGAATATGCACTGAAGACACACTTGATGCGGAAGAAGGAAAGTTGACACAAACTCTGGTTGATAACATTTATCCAGACAAGTTCATCAGGAGATATAAAGTAGTCAGAACACCAAGACCCACTCTCCAACTCGCCCCTAAGAAAGACGTGTACATCAAGCTACCCTATATGGGGCATCAAAGCAGCTTGATAACTAGACAAAGACTGAACGCTGCTGTCAAAAAGACTTTTTATGCAGCCAATATCATAATAATAGAGAATGTAAAGCCAATATATCTATCTAAGCCCTTCGAACATGAGAAAAGTGACGTCACATCCCAATGTATTTACCAATTTGAATGTACGTGTGGACACACATTCATAGGGAGGGCTCATCGATCTCTGCAAGTAAGGGCTTCAGAGCATATTCCTAAATGGCTTCAGAAACAAATGGAATCTTCAGAACCCATTAATGGTGAGAACAGGAGACCTAGCTTCTCTATTGCGAAACATATTATAGAAACAGGACATAAAATTGACGTTAACAGATCTTTTAAGCCTATCTATAAAACGTGTTTGGGGCGTATCCTAAAGTTTGTGGAAGCCCTAGCAATTAGAAAGTTTAAGCCACCTTTATGCGTTCAAAAACAATTTGTCATCACATTAAACCTTCCTTGGTAAATTTTGTTTTGATACCATAGCAGATGTACTATTACCTCTGTTATTTGGTTTAGTGGTCTTCATTGTTACTTTGACCTTGAATATGTCCTTTAAACTTGACCTAAGTCTATTTTCTCACCTCTTACCTCTTTATTAATTTCATATATATTCCTATGACAAGTCCGTGTGTGATCAGATTGTTCGAAATGTGTTGCGCAAATACATTACACGATTCAGACAAATTACGTCTTCTTATTGCTTTATCTAAATTCATAAAGGGAACTAATTGTTTTAAATTTGTAAAAAATTATATTTGTAAAATCTCAGCGAGATTGAAATGAGTAATTCCAACGTTTCGTTCGGAAATCTGGTCCGAACTTGTCTGCAACAGAATGCATATCCTAAATCCGTAGCTGTCGAGTCACTTGACAACTCCAGTAGGTTGAATAAAGCAGCTCAATCTTCAGAAAGAAGGCAAAGCAATAAGTCCGACAGGGTGCTTCTACTAAACTCTAATCCTAAACACCATTATTTTGAAAATACGTCTAATCATAAAATTCTAGATACTAACAGTTTGAACAGACATGAATGCGTGATGTTATCTGATGCATAGGAAATCCTTATTAATAAATAAAAAATGGATATGTATCACTAATTATTAATACTTGGTCAAAATTCTCGACTGTCCATTTCTTCTTATGGAGACGTTAAGAAATGTTTTACAACTGTTTACCCACACACACATACACACTCTGTTTAAAGTGTTTAACAAAGGTAGACTAATATTTGTAAGTCCGAGGTCAAATTTTGATCACAGCTCATAAAATTTTGTTTATTATACTTGTTGAATGACTCATGATTGGACAAAGTTTTTAAAGACAAGTGATGTTCCTTTTATATATAAAACTATGTTATGTTAATTTCGATTAATTTCCCTGAAGAAGTTCGGACCAGATTTCCGAACTACACGTTGGAATTACTCATTTCAATCTCACTGAGATTTTACAAATATAATTTTTACAAATGTCTACTTCCCACTCGGCGCCCAACTATTTTAGAACTAATGTGTCAAATCTTGACGACAGTTCATTAAAATAAATAATGTTTCTGATATGATTGAAAATCGCATTTTTCGAATGTTCCATGAGTGGTGGTGATCAGTTGAGTTTTATTACTCGTTGATTTATAATCAACATTGAAAACCTGGTCCATAATCACTGCAAACGTTAGACTTGCGTCTATTGACTGCAGTATTTGATTTAATTAGACTGGAACTGGTGTGGTAAATCAGTCTCACTGATCAATTGATAGTGTGGTTGCTTGAAGTGATCACTGCTCGTGGTGAAGACAATTTTATTAACTCGTCTGATCACCTATTGAACGCTGATATGAAAATAAAGAATACCAATTATTTATTATTGTTTCCTTGGGTTCCGAGTGGAACATAGGGCTTCAACAGCACTTCTTCACTTTTTCCTACTCCCTGTGGTCTTCTTTGGCTTGTCGCACGATTGGTCATAGTCTCTGGTCTCCTACATGGTGCGCTCACTTTCCACTCGAAGGCCTGGCATGCGACGTCATTCGACGATGGCCTCCTCAACGTGTGCCCAATCCATCTGCATTTGCTTTCTACATATTTGTTAAGCAGTAGGTCTAGAACAGTAATACATTTATTTATTTTTCCGCGAATCCTTTTCAATTGGCTACAACTTGAACAATCCAAAAGTGTAAATTACAATAAAGATTTAAACATACTTTTTCCAAGATTTTTTTCCAAGTGGAACACAGGGCCTCAAGCTAGAGACTGGAAGTTTCGATAGTATTTATTTTATTCTATTTCGGTGGTAATTATTTTTACAGGATGGGGTTGATAGCCAGCCTCATGCACCCCTACAACTTCCCCGTTTACCTACCAGTCGTATTACTGGTTTAGAGAGGTAAAGGAGTGCGTCGTCAGTGCCCGCGGATCGAACCCCGGACCACATGCGTAGCTGGGGAGCATTATACCGCTGTGCCACCAACGCACCAGAGTCATCCAATTTTTTCAAAAATAGTCAATCCTTTTCACTCTTAGTTACTCAACAACTTACATCACTCCGGAGTACTAATTACCACTGAGGTGCTACCAATTACTTCTTATCCTTCGTGTAAACAGTATGTTTAAATCTTTACTCAATTTATACATTTCTGGTTTCTTCAGATTGTAGCCAGCGGTGTGAGAAGAATCCCCAAAATAATAAGAGATGAGTTCATAGTATCCCGGTGGTACATATGTCATTCATGCTTGAACAAAGCAAGTTTACTAAAGAAAAGAATTGTGCGAATTACTTTTAACCGAAATACACAATCTCAACGACCACTTATTAATAAGTGACTCGAATTAACACAGAACCTTGCACAGCTGTGCAGCAGTTCGAATTGCCACACTCCATTCAGCAAACAAAGCAAGACAAAAGAGCACAGAGAGGTTCAAAAGAGACAGAGATAATGAACAGAAGTGTCAGTGAGGGGAAAAGAACAAAAGAATTTTACTGCTTACGATAAATCACAAAGACTGAATGCATCTGCACCAGCCATCACCGAGGACGATTGTGAGCCATATCACTAATTGTCTCCAGTCACTGACTGATTCTCACCATCCCAAAGACCACAAACACGCACTATACATCTCCCTACAACGTGGTCGGCTGACTGGCTGACCTAAACTAACTGTTGTGGATTTCATTGACTGATGGAGCCGTGTTTTGGTTTGACCACCATGTGCTAGCTATTCTCCAACCTGATCCATTCTATGTCAGCTAACATTACCCATTATCGAAGAAGGCAGTGAATGACTAGGTTAGGCATGCGTAACACATGTCCTCCTAACCATCTCTCTCAATCGATGTAACTTCACAACCTCGTCGACTGATTTTCCCTCTCACCTACCCTTGGCACTCGACCGATGCCTGACCTCGATATTGCTCACTCTATTATGCTACCTAACATGGGAGACAGAAAGCAGACACCTATGATCGGAGACAGTTAGCCAGAATTTTCATGTCTTCCAATTTCAATGGCTGCTGAGCAGTACACATGTTCTTTGATCGATAGCCAACCGGACATCACGTCTACGCCATAGATAGCGTTAATTCAGCATATGCGAAACGAGCCTTCTGTATCCGTGCCGTGATTTCGTCAGCGATCAACCCGCTGACAACATTGGCTGCTACAGCTTCCCAAATAAGTGTAGTGGTAAACACGCACACGAAGCCCTCCAAAAGCACTTATTAATCAGACTCAATGCCATAACAAATGAGTCTATGCAAAACATTGTAAACACCTTTTTAGACAGACAGACACACGCACGCACACACGCATGCATATGCATACACATTATAACTATCATAGGATACAACAACAAAAATACAGAAACATACATAGCATTAAGTTACAGCACACATAATGGGAAAACAAACAACAAATGAGTCAACTCACTCCCTGCATCAGAAGGTTGTATATCAGTAGTAGTAGTAGTAGTAGTAGTAGTAGTAGTAGAGGCGGTCAGTGCTGCTAAATTTAAATATGTGGCTGGCGTAACCAACGGACAAATTGTAAGAAGCGATGGTCTTAGAATCCAATCGCTTCTTTTATCCGGGTGTACAGATGTCAAATGAGTAAATATGGCGCATTTATTATTAGCGCTGATAATTCCACCCGGCAGAACAGAATAAAATCGTGAGGAGATTTCGCTTTCATGATTATTATTGTTGTTGTTAGTAGTAGTAGTCGGGATCATAGCAAGCGTGACTTCATGCGAACTACCAGCAGCGACAACAGAACTACTAGTTGATTCAGAAGGATTTCTACTGTTGTCCTCCGGACGATGATGATGACTTGTATTTACATCAGCGATACTGACCGCCTCACGTGAAGTTGTTGTCCAAGAAGCACGACAGAGATGACAACGATACAATATTCGAGCAACGGTACGATCCAGGTGGTCTTCATACAAAGCACTGCTTGTAAATGTTGATCGGCAACACAGGCAAGTATAAAAACCCTGTGAAAATGGAGATACACTAATATTAATAATAATTAATACTTAAAACAATTTTAATAATAATAATAACACTACTTCACTCAACTTCCCACACCACTATGACTACTTACAACTGGGATGTCGTCACTTTGCCGTATGATTAGTCACGTATTCACCATCTGCCTGGATTCAACATAGAACTTGGCACCGAAGTGCAGCAGTTCGAGTTGCCACGTTCCGAAGAGCACGCAATCGTAGACAAGAAGATGAGTGAAGAGAATCAATAGAGTTTTGACAAGTATAAGAGTGAAACAGAATGAGTAATGGTAGAAAGGAGTATGAAAGATTAGAGACTGAATACATCCGCGCCACTGACAGCGATTTTGAGTCATTGATTCTTAGAGTCCCGAGGGCCCCAACCCGGAAGTCTGCATCTCCCTACCTGACTCAGTCTAGCTGTCAAGGATTTCATGGATTGATGCCATGTTTTTGTTTGGCCACCACTTACTCTTTTCCAACCTGCACCTATATCAGCTAGTAATGCCCGTCGGGGGAGGCGATGGTTAGGCATGCGCAGCACGTGACCTAGCTACCTCAATCTATGTAACTTTATAGCCTCGTCGATTGATTTTCCCTCTTTGCCCAACACTACGCCTAACGTCAACATTACTTACCTTATTATGCCACCTAACGTGAGAAAGAGGTCGTAGACATCTATGATCAAAAACAGTCAACCTTTTCATGTCTTCAACTCGTATTGACCATGTTTCAGAGCCATAGAGAAGGACGGGGCGAACTACTGAGCAGTACACACGTCGCTTGGTTGATAGACGGATGTCACGCCTACGCCAGAGATGGAGTAAGTTAGCGAAAACAGCCCGAGCTTTTTAGATCCGTGTTGAGATTTCGTCACCAATCAATCCGTTGGTGCTGATACAACTTCCCAAATAGATGAAGTGGTCAACATGTTCTATCACTTCACTCCCTATCACTAAGCTAGGAGTTGACGTAGTCCAGTCCTGTAGCAGCATCTTACATTTTACAGGGGCGAATCGCACGCCAAACATACGAAGATCGCTGCTCAAAGTGTTCACGTATTCACTATCCCGCCCTGGGGCTAGAGTAATACTACTACAGTAACAACAGAAGGCAAGACGCGAACGCCAAGGTATATTTTTCATTGAACAAATCACTATTTATATATCTACAGTTTATATTCGTCAGTCAATCACTGAACGTGTGATTTTGGTTTACATTAAACGACATGAAATAGAATGTTCAAATACACACACACATAGTATTCTGTTGCTAATGCAGTATTGAACTGTGAGAATATGTGAGAATCATAGACAGTTGGAACACATTGTCTGTATCACACCCACCACCACCACTACTACTACTACATGCGCAAACATAACTTACATTAAAAAATTTCACTTTAGACGATGTCAATACCGTTTAAGTAAGCTGTCCGCCTTTTTTTATCTCTCACAAAAATGTTTCTATGCCCATTGTATGGTTGTACACTAATGTAATATTTGTGTTGAAAGACGAATCAATTGTATTCTAGCTAAACTCAGACAGTTTGCTACGATGGCATTAACTGAGAGATATGAGAAATCGCTTGATAAACAGACAGGATGCTGAATAGTCCCACAGATTACGATAAGACAACTGTTCAGTAACATCCAGGTTTTGCAATCTTCCCCCGCCCCCCGCTAACTGATGTCAACTACTCGTGACCAAAACCTGTAAATCAATACACCTCTTAGCGATTTCATTCTCAACAATGATGCATAATCGCATTTTTTTTATTCCTTCACATTCCCAGTGGAACATAGGGCTTCAAGCTAGTGGCTTGAAGTTTCTGTAGCAGTGTTTATTTTTACAGGATGGGGTTGCTAGCCACATGCCCAACCTCTCCTCTTTACCAGCTTTACTTCTGGCTTAGCGAGGTGAAGGAGTGCGTCCAGTGGCCGGGGATCGAACCCCGGACCATGTGCATGGTCGGCGAGCGTCCTAACCACTATGCCACCGATGCACATAGGTTCGCATAGTTCACAAATATTATTATTATCATTATTACTATTATCAGTTAATTCAACATACTAACAAAAAGAGATTAAAGAACATGTTGCTAGGCTATTCAAATACATTACTTTTACTTTACTTCGGCTATCTCCTACGGGAGGATGAGCCGGCTTCATGAACATCTCGAATCATAGCTGCCCAGGCGCGGCGATCTGATGCAAGGAGTTCATGAAGTTTCATGGGAATTTGGTACGAGTGATGTCCCCACAATCGCTCGGCCTTTTGTTTGAGTGTGCAGCTCTAGCCTTTACACAACCAAGTGTGACCTACAAGGCAGTAGGAGTGGAGTAGGGAGTCCACTATCCATTGGCAGTCGGTGACCGGAGTTCGGTTCATACGCCTTTTTGAATGGGGCCAGACATCCAGGACATCCAACAAGCCCTTTGTCCATACGTCTGCCGGTGAGCTCCAGTGAGCTTCATACGCCAGTCGTTGGAGGTTTGGAATCAGGGTTTAGCCATCTCCCCTAGACTGTCATCCAATGGACAGTCAACCCGGTGACGAGCGCCGGGCATACATTAGAATAAATGAATCCAAATATTAATTCACATTCATATAGTCTTTTAAATAACTCAGCAACATGCCATTCACCTTCCAGTCAAGAATTTCTCGACATCAGACGAAAGTTTGAAGGAGTAAATATTGAGTACTCCGTTGACAGAATGTAATGCCTTCTGAGCAAGCCTTGAGTAGCAAACAATCATCTAATGTTTGGCATGCAATTCACTCCCCTTGCAAAATGTAAGATGATGAGGCTGCAGGACTGCATTACATCGATTTCTAGCGTAAAGATAAAGAGTGCAGTGGTAGCTGGGAAGTTGCATCAGCCCCAGTTGACAAATCAATTCTCAGCATGGATACAGAAGGCTCACTTCGTATATGCCAACTAGACATGGTACCCGGCTGGAAGTCAGCCAAAGGACGTGTGTACTGCTCAGCAGTACGCTCCACAATGGGCGAGATATGGCCATTGAAAGTGGAAGACATGAAAATTCTGGCTAACTGTCTCCGATCATAGGTGTCTGCTTTCTGTCTCCCATGTTAGGTAGCATAATAGAGTGAGCAATATCGAGGTCAGGCATCGGTCGAGTGCCAAGGGTAGGTGAGAGGGAAAATCAGTCGACGAGGTTGTGAAGTTACATCGATTGAGAGAGATGGTTAGGAGGACATGTGTTACGCATGCCTAACCTAGTCATTCACTGCCTTCTTCGATAATGGGTAATGTTAGCTGACATAGAATGGATCAGGTTGGAGAATAGCTAGCACATGGTGGTCAAACCAAAACACGGCTCCATCAGTCAATGAAATCCACAACAGTTAGTTTAGGTCAGCCAGTCAGCCGACCACGTTGTAGGGAGATGTATAGTGCGTGTTTGTGGTCTTTGGGATGGTGAGAATCAGTCAGTGACTGGAGACAATTAGTGATATGGCTCACAATCGTCCTCGGTGATGGCTGGTGCAGATGCATTCACTCTTTGTGATTTATCATAACCAATAAAATTCTATTGTCCTTCCATATTACTAATCTTTTCCCCTCACTGACACTTCTGTTTATTTCATTCATTTGGTTCCCTTGATAAATTTCGATAGAGAAAGAAAGACCAGATTTGCAGTATAAAATGATATCATCATTCTATTTCGCAGGTTCTCATCAGCTGCTGCAAACTACCTGAAATTACATGGGTTATAAATAATAACATTTCATACTTCATTGTTTGAGAGGTAATAGAGAAAGCATTATAAGGTAAACGCATCCGGAATATCAGTATTACAATTTATAGTTTAAGTTATCATCAATTTATATACTATCAAACTATGACTACACAGAGTGTAGTCAATCTCTCACTACCTTGGTAACCATATCACCTTCATTACACTGATTAGCCATACACACTAGTGGGCTCAACTCACTAAGCAAGTTTTCAAACTGATGAACTTCAACCTTCTTGAGTTGCTATGTTGACACTGTTCATTAGATTTTTCTGTTTTCTGTATTCTCTCACCCCCACCCTTTTTCTTTTTTTTCTTTTTCTTCATAGTTTGATAGTATATAAATTGATGATAACTTAAACTATAAATTGTAATACTGATATTCCGGATGCGTTTACCTTATAATGCTTTCTCTATTACCTCTCAAACAATGAAGTATGAAATGTTATTATTTATAACCCATGTAATTTCAGGTAGTTTGCAGCAGCTGATGAGAACCTGCGAAATAGAATGATGATATCATTTTATACTTATGTTTATTATCTCTGTCTCTCTTTCGAACCTATCTGTGGTCTTTTGTTTTGCTTTGTGTGCTACATGGAGGGATTGTGGCAACTCGAACTGCTGCACAGCTGTTCAAGGTTGAAACCATGTTGAAACCAGTCAGTCAGAGTAGAAATAGCATGGAAACAAAAATTACATTGGATTAAAAATAGTTGAATAGTTACAGGATTTTATCATGAGGTGACCATTGGTTAGAGAACTATTGGAAAACCTGGGAGTACTGTACACCTGTTTCGTTCTAGTTTGTGACTCTTCAGCAGGACGCACACACCAGGGTTTGAACCCAGGACCTTCTGGTTACAAGGCGAGCACGTAGACCATTAAGCCAATGGGACTCGATCCAATGGCTAGCGGTTGCGCTATATCGTGAATTGGCAGAAGTTCGAATTCATTGGCTATTGGATCGGGTCCCAGTGGTTTATTGGTCTACGAGCTCGCTAACGTTGTAACCAGAATGTCCTGGGTTTGAACCCCGGTGGGTGCGTACCGATGAAGAGTCCAAAACTAGAACGAAACAGCGGTCCAGTACTCACAGGTTTTCCAATGGTTCTGTAACCAATGTCAGTTCATGATGAAATCCTGTAACCAATCAACCAAATCCCTACAAACCAATACTTGAACAGTTGAATAATTGCATAGTATGTAGAGCAGTTTTTAACGAAGAAAGATGTGAGTGGGATGAGCATAGAAACATACTGAAATATAGCCTTTCATTTCATTACAATTAAAGATGGCAAAATTGCAGGGTATAAAAGTAGACGACAACTATGATTCTAGTTACGTGGCGTGTTCTACTGACAAGATTTGTCAGTAGTATATACAGGGACATTCATCAGCACACAAAAATATCAAATAGTGGAGAGATGGATTTGACGTTAAAGAGGCAGGAAATGAAACAGTGTATTGCGACAAAACATGTGAGACACGAAAAGAAAAAGACAAAGAAACATAATACAAAGTGGGGATGGGTTGAGGGGGGGGCAGAAGTAGCACAACACAGAAGATATGTGCAAATATTGGATTTCATACAGGGTGTACATAATTCCCCTGTATATAGACATGTCAAATACTAAATAAACATTCCGTTACCAAGTGTCTTGTCTTCTACCGTCACAGTTGCATTTGGCTCTTTGGGTGTTGTTTTTCTGCATTTCCTGCACATTCTCACCTTCAGTTATAAAAGCTATTGCTTCACTTTGTTTTCATGCTCATCTTATTCCCATCTGTCTTCGTTCATAAAACTATTTTACATACTACACAACCACTTTTCAATCCCATGTAATTTTGTTTCTACGCCCCCCCTTGTAATCCATATTCACACCTTCAAACTTTCATATCAAGTTGAATATTATTACTTTCTTCAATGTCACCTACGTTACTATGTTGAATTAAAAAAAATAATAATGATTGCGAACACTGCGAACTTATATATTTGTAAATGCAAACGTACAACTGTTTTGAAGATAAAATTGACGAAAAGATACCCTTTTCTGAGCTCATGTTTTATTCTCTCTCTCTCTCTCTCTAGTGCTCCTATCGGGTATTTTCCACAGAATAAACATCCTGCACTGGCACAAGTTAGACAAGCGCTGAGAAAGCAAGAGAACACTACTAGGACAGTTGTTTTTCACGTCCTAGTTTGTAATATAATCAACTCTGCATTACTGTATACACATGATCCCACCACGAATCAAACTAAACAGGATCTTGAAGTTACGACAGAGAGGGGGAGGAGACAGTCAACATTATCTCTCATTTTCAATGGTTTTCTCCAATTGATCTCAACCTGTGATGGAGTTGTTGTTTTTTCAAAATCAAGAAAATCCGGACACTTTTTCTATTTTTGGGGAAATGAAGTGAACACACACACACACAAAAATACTTAATTTAAACGCCAAAGAAACCATGTGGACTGCGCGAAATTAAGTAAACTAGTGGGGCGCAACACTAATTTTGGAAGCTGGTCAGAATGCTGTGCAATCCTAGCATTTAACGGTATAGTACATATTTTCGAAAAGTAGAGATTTCTAGCTTGGAAACGGTATGGTTTCTCGATTCTTCTTCTTATTATTATTGTTGTGCAACACACTAAGAGATACACTTATCGTGTGTGACAGGGCTAATGATAACCGTGGAACAGGAGTCGAGCCTGGCACCCAATTGGTTGGAAGTCAATTGCTTAGGTTAGTCAACTACATCCTCCTCACTGGTATGTTTTCTAAGATCACACATTTAATCACGGACGTTTCGCCATCAGATTAATCAGTTCTTTTCAAGGGAAAAACAATGGAACGCCCAGAATTATTTTATTCACTCACTTTTCTTGAAATTGAATTAAGTAGCGAATTTGGTAGTGAGTTTTCTAAACGAATATTTGCCTCATTTTCACATTGAATCGCGGATGCCGGTAACTGAAAATAACAATAATAGTGATAATTATAATTATAATATTGATAAAAAAACTGTTGTGCCTGGAGACGCATTTAACTCAAGTTAGACGAACCACAACTGCACTGATACTTTGTCCAAAAAAACTTTGGCGACAGCGTTATTCAGTTCAGTGGAAACAATCACAAATTCTAGTACAATTAATTCAGTTATATATCCAGTCATGTCAATTTTACAAGGGTTTATTCACCTACCTACTTATCTACCTCAAATTTCACAAAATTCAGTTACAACAACAACAACAACAACAGCGCCAGAAACACTATGAAGCCCTACAACAATCTAAACTCTCATCCAAATCCTCACTAAGAAATTATCTCTTCAATCATCTAGACACCCAATCCCATCTCCATACTCAGACTGTTCATTCTCTTCTCAAGTCAGTCAGTCACTCAGCCACAGAAGTACACAACAATTTATCACTTGAGGCATTATTTGAACAGTGGGAAGTGTCTCACTTCCCACGTCCAGTGTGATACGCTGTAATACGCTGGACCACCGATAAGAAGATTCTAGAACATCTGGATTTCACGCATCGATAACATATGTCGAATGTCATACGGACTCGAAGACTTACAGGCAGATAGGTAGGCGAAAACCAAAAAACTTCCCCAAGAGGTGAGACAGGCAGCGAACACACGACTCCAGGTGAACATAGAGAAGATAGAGAGGGAGGTGATGAAGATAACCAACCAACCGTCACAGCAACAACAACCAGCACTAATCACCATCAACGGGAGAGATTTGACTGAGGTTGTCTCCTTCTCTTATCTAGGCAGCCAGCGTCGTTTCCACTACAGCCATTCGGAACGGGTGAAGATGTCAAAGCAGGCCAGAATCAGAAAGGCAAGATACACCTTCATCAATCTGAAACCAGTTTGCAAATCTTTTGCACTCACTCAGCAGCATAAACAACAAGATTCGCATTCTATTCAACACAAATCTGAAGTCAGTCAGTGAGTCTATTCTTCTATATGGGTCAGAAACTTGCACTGCACGTGAGTAGTCACGAAAAGGATTTCCAACAGCCTGTTTCAGACTTTCATCAACAGCTGCCCACTTCGCTGGCTGGCTGACTCCATACTAAAGATCAAATGGCCAGGAAGAATTAGCAACAAGAAATTATGGCTGGGAAAAAACCAACGAAGAGCCGCTCGCTCAACAAATATGTAGGAGAAAATGGAGATGGATTGGGCATAAATAAGTTGAGGAGACAGTCAAATGAGGTCGCGCACAATGCAGGTCATTGCTCAAGTGGCACCCGAATGGGAAGCGATGAGTGGATCGTCATTGCTAGGGTGACATGGAGGAGATCATGTGAGTAAGAGGAGCAGATGAGAGATTGTGGGCAATCATGGTCGAAGCAGAAGAGGACGGCAGAAGATAGGACAAAGTGGAGATGTGTTGTTTAAACCCTATATTCCACTCGGAACTCAAGGAACAATAATAATAATAATAATAATAGCAGATCTCTGATTAATATTGGCGGAGATTTCATGACAATAATCCGCATTACTTAACGAATCACTGGAAATCAAGGTTGATAATTTTTAGACTATATACCTATTGAAGTAAAAGATACAATGTGGTAGTTAGGAACTATTCGTCAGTTTACGGTCACTGTCTGAACAGAGAGGAGAGAGAGTACAGAATAGACTAGTGATGACTTGGCTGAAAATATTTACTACTCATATTAACAAATCAATCAATATAAACTATGAAAAACCTACCTGTAAAGTCAAACTGTCTTGAGCCATAGCCGATTGATAAATTTGCCTCAAGACTGAATTAGCACTTTTAAAAGTGCAATTTATGCCGGGAAATCGTAAATCTCCCGATGAGTTTCGAGAGATACGACCCCATAGGAGATTATCATTAGTAGAATCAGAATTCATAATTTGTTCATCAATCCTATTGGCAGCTGAAGAGGTTGCCAACTGTTTAAAATAAAGGGAAATATGAATTTTGAGATGTACATATATGGTAAGATATTCAGTAGCTTTATAAAAACACAGAAAGGACTGTATAATACTTTCCTTAACCAGCTGGATATATCTGCTTATCAATAAGCGATGTTCTCACGAAGTCTAGAATCCACTACTGAGTTGTGGATGATAACACTCCTGGATGCAAACCAATCTGCAAAGGCATTGGCGATCCAATGCACAGAGAGTCGCCACTGATCCTCAGCTCGGAGGTTAGATTTTACAGGTGTAGGACAAGGCTGTGCGCACCGACGCATTGTAATCCCGACATGTGATGGTTACTAAAACAACCACCTAGAGATACATGAACTTATAGATTACTCTTAACAGTTCACTTGTAAGGGTGAATGCAGGTACGGGTTCCCCCCCAGTGCTGTAACAATAATTCGCACATACCACACTTATAAGCATTGACCACCAATTGATTAAGTACGATTTGCGCAGCCTGCATGTTATTGCACAGTTAGACGATGTCGTTTGCAAACTCGAAGTCCATACAATTTATTATTAAGCAATACTTTGGTAAAAGTATGCAAGAAATAATGCTCAAACTTTGAACCTAATAATTGACGGGAAAACACTAGTTACTTGTAAAGAAAAGTCAGGGTTAAAACAACTCAAAGCACTTAATGTACACTGCAGACGAGGCATATTCTACCTACTGTTGTTAAAGTATTGCAATTGGGAAATATCGGTACACAAGACATCAGGTAATTGATCACCGTTATGCCTGAAGTGTCACATTGATAACAACTACAAGTCATCAACTGAAACCATTAAATCACTACAGTTTAGATGACCACATCATACCTTGCATGGGTTCAATTAATACCTGCCACTAGGACAATGTAAACCAAGGAAGCTTGCTCTTAAAAAGATTTTATGGGAGGCAGCTGTTGCTATCTCTCAATCCTGTTCTAAATTATGTATGGAAAAGTAGGCGACACGGTAATCAGAGTCAAACCTACTTGTTGCATACTTCAGATTATTTTATTAGGAATACACTTACTGTGATACAGGTTATATTTATGTATTCTACGGTTTCATACCTTAGACTTACAATTTTGTTGCTTACATGTGAGTATACACTGTAAGAGATGATTTCAAGTCAGATCACAAACTGACATTAATCAAAGAAACAACACCAGGAAGTACTGGACAGCTCTTTTGTCCTAATTTGAGACTCTTCAACAGCACACCCACTTACTACTACTCCATCAGGGATTGAACTCTGGGGCTTTAATTTGCGAAACGAGTCCATTCATCATTCGGCCACCGGGACAGAATCCTATGGATCATGAATTGTCAATTCGCGACGTAAAGCGCTACCACCCACCAGTCTTGTCAGCGAGCTTCGCCCCTGAATCCAACTCATTGGTCACGACATTTCACCAAAACACCAGGTAACTATATCCTGTAGCCAGTCAGTAGTGGGCTGTTCAGTAACCCCCTGGTCCTCTAACTGGTGATAGTCAGTCAAACTCTTGCAAAATAGAAGTAGATGGTTTGTTATGAATTATTGCACAAGTGAGTCAAGAGTTTAACCAATTATAATAAATCCAAATAAACGGATAAAAATGTATCCATTGTTTCCAGCATCAGTAACATTCAAATGACTTTCGGATAAACCCAAACTGGGTAAAAACTGGTATCATCTCAAGAACACTTTTGTGACGCATTAAAAGTGAAGTAATAATAAAGACACTGTATAATTACTGATCTAACTCTTTATTAATGTCATAACATTACGAATTTTTTTTAGACAAAACGGCACTAAAAGACATGGAAAAGCACTTACATCATGGGGTGTACGTGGAGGAATTGTACTGGGTACGATGAGGGGAGTGGAATCATTGACACTGGTTACAGCAGGTAGAGAACTTCCTGTAACAAGTCCATTAGACTCGTTCACATGCCCACTAAGCGTCCTAGAAATCGGTTGCTGAGAGACTCTTGACCTAGTGTAGAAAGTATTCCCTGGGAGGGTTATATGTTCAGATGAAGTAAAGTAAGGTGGTGAACAGGTGACGCTTTGCGATCTTGTAAGTCGAGTTTGACTATTAGATTGAGTAGGCTCAGAAATTTCTGTAACCTACAAAAATAGTGCTTATGTACAACTATGGATATTTCGTACACGGGATACACAAAAACTATGTGGAATTAATATAAAATATACCATAGTATCCACTCCAAAACGACTTTAGAACAAATTTTACCTTCGAGGTGAAGAATAATGGTGGAACTCATATTGAATAAATGAATAGCAAACCACACTAAAAGTCTGTTCAAGATTCTATAATCGATTCTCTATTCTTTAACTCTGGACTAACATCAGCATCAGTACTATCACATAACAAGGTTCCGTTTAGGGACTCACTGTTGTGGTGCTGAACAAGAACACTTCCGCAGATCGCTCAGTGATTAAACGTAGATATTAGCCTCCCAATGGATGTTCTACCTGATCCCTGATGACACAACCCATTTCCCTTGCTACGAAATGAATTGTAAACATACGTTCAACCAGATACCCAGGGTCATGATTGAACTGAGATGCTTACAAATATGTATCACAACAGCAAACAAGTGACTGGATGTATTACTTCCAAGATTCATGTCTATAAAGGTCATATAAACATCACAAAATTAGTTTTCCTGCAAAAGTTAACCTACCATTCTTTGTCCCTAAAGACAATTCTAATACTACATGCTACTTATATGCAAACGACGAACTTAATCCCTACCGTCTTCCCTGAAACTACATTATTTATATGTAGTCAACTGTTTCGCTGAACTGTGCAATCAATAATAACTGTTTTAATACCACCACTGGAAAGCACACGTAGCAGGAAGTGACTGTGATGACACGAATAGGTGGCGTGAAAGAAGTGAAGGGCAGGAAAGTCTATAGCATTTCTGTATAATACTGAGATTATTCTACGATGTGAACATGGTGTAAACCATTTATACAAATATCAACCGATGCAGTTAAATCATAGCGGCTACCCCAACACATGACGTTCGACACCCAATTAGATGTGTTACAATCAAATCAAATTGTATCTTTTGTTCTAGGATTACTTAAACTTTCATGAAGCTGAATTCTCACGTATTTACGTCATAGGATGCTAGAATTTCACAATACTACTACAATTATTCAGTAGTCCGCACGGATTACAAAACAGGCATTTATTAGGGGAATTTTAGCAAGACCAATGTAAATACAAGTCTTATTTTCGATACTTAATTCAAGCTGTACAAAATCAAAGAAATGGATTGGGTAACTATAAACAGTACAGCATATTCAAGAGTTAGTTTGTAAGGATTAAACTGGTATCAATCCGTCGTCAAACTCGTAAAAACAAATCTAATATTTACAAACCAACTATTGAAAATTAATCTGATGCTCGCTAGTGAATTGTCTCAGGACGGAGTTTCCTAGAGTGAGAAGTCATGACCAGTGGGGTTCAACCATTCAAGTGTGAGGATGGATTTCCCACCGATGGCATTGGTTGGTGGTCGCGCTAAATCACAAATTGGTAGAATTTAGAATTAATGCACTGGCCGTTGAATCGAGTCCCAATGGCTGAGTGGTATACGAGCTTGCCTTGTAACCGGAAGGTCTTGGGTTCAAACCCTGGCAGTGGGTGCGTACTGCCGATGATTCCCAGAGTAGGGTGAAGCAGCTGTCCAGTACTCGCGGCTGGTTTACAATGGTTCTCTAACTGATATCAATCCGTGGTCAAACTCGTAAAAGCATAATGCATACCAAAAACTTACTGGGACGGATAAAATTTGCGAGGGGGAGCCTTCCGAAGTTGGCTCTTGTTGTATGTTTGTCAATAAGAGGTTCCCTCGTCTCTCTGGTAAGAAGAGCTTTGTAATCACCACGTCCTGCAACATTTTGCATCAAACCACTATAGCACACAGACCACAAGCACGACGGGGCTTGAATAGCCCGGGGTACAAGTTACTTATCGTCATTTATAACAAGTTTAGATAACCGATCTTCCTCTTGCTCTAGTGATGCCACGTTGACGTTTCTTTCTGAAAAAGAAGAAAAAGAAACTTGTTTAGTGGCATTATATTGGTTTCTATTGCGTTACACCACAGGGGTAGAACGCAAGCTACCAAATTGCGCGTGCCATGTATGTTGCATTCACAGGACTAAACAAAACCTATCACGAAATCCTAACTTTCAACATCCAATATCATTTTTACAAGCTAGTGTAAACTAAATTGATTTGTCTGTGCTCGCTATCAGGGAGTGAGTGCCCTTCAGCACAGAAGAGCACCTATCGCATTCCAGACGCCCATACTGCCTCTGCGACACCGGATTAGCCCTCTAGTGACGGTAATAGAAAGACTGGTAAAAAGAAGAGGAGTACTAGGGGTCAGAAACCTTCAGCTAGAGTCTCCCAGAAACTTGTGGATCAAGCCTCAACCACACCGGTGGACAGCAGACAGACGCGATCGAATACGGTCAGCGAGAGGGATGCCAATGAATGGCGTAATGTAGTTTCCAGCAATAAGCGAGAATAGGACACCATAACGGCCACACTGTCCACGAGGGACGAAAAGAAACCTGCGCTGCAGAGGAAGAAAGACACGGCAAGCAAACCTGATCTATCTGATAGGTCTCTCATTCTCCACAAGGTGGAGATCAGGTTCGAGCATAACCTTAGCTTGATCAAGCCCCTTTTAGATAAGTTACTGCCAACAACAGTATCAGGCATAACCATATACATTATATGGAATTGACCGAAAGCCTGAATAATAATAATAATAATTTGCTTTATTCCAAAAACAGTATTAATGATACAGCAAGGAATTTTCAGCATTCAGTACAGTATTGCATCTAATTTACTCAAAAACGACAACAACAAACAAAAAAAATAGATAAACGGAATACTTAATACATAATAATGATAACAAAACGTTTTTATAGGAGCTATGTAGCAATTACAGTATAGGATAAGGAGAAAAATATAAAATTATAGTAATAATAGTAATAACAACTAAAATAAAAATAGCAAAGTTATAATTAAACGATAGAAAGGGTGACACCATAGAATTACAGAAAGATGAACAATGAAAGGGTCGATTCACTATGCTAATTACATAGTAACTTATATGTTTCACGTCTAACAGTGTCTTCATCACATAAAATACGGGCTAAGTACGGTATTGTAGAATTTTTGTACTTAGTGGTACGAGCATATAATTTCTTATATTGACTTCTCGTTCTACCTGATGAGATACAAGGGGATAATTGTGAATAAAGAGGGTGCAGAGGGTCTGACAGTACGGCCTTTGCCCAATTTTTACAGGAATTTACGTGTCTCTCGACTATGGTATTGGCGAGATCACGCAGTGGCAAACCACAAGCCCTACTCACAGCATTTAATACCCTTCGTAATACGGCATAGTCTTTTTTAAGAAGCCCAGGAAAGATTAATGGAGAACAATAAAGTAAAATGGGTAAAATACAGGAGTTTAAAAATCGCAGAACTAAAGGTTGGCTGATACCTTGTTGTCTTAACTTTTTAATGTAGAAGGTAAGACGAAACATTTTCTTAGAGACCAATAAAATGTGAGATGACCATGAAAGGTCCGAGGAAAGAACTAATCCAAGGTATTTAATGCTTGATTTGGTTTCAATTTCTGTACCATCTATGCTACAGGCATCATGGGAACTAACTAGTTCATGTATGTCACGTCGATGGTTGAAGGTAAAGTTAACTGCCTGACATTTGGAAGGATTTAACATAAGACCATTTGACTTAGACCACATGCTGATGTCCAACAAAAAGCTATTAAGTTTGGAGCAGTCAGACTCAGAAGTGATAGGCAGTGATACAGTCAGATCATCAGCATATTTGACAAAATTGGTTTCGTTTAAATGTGGCAGGTCATGTAAGAAGAAAGAAAAAAGAAAGGGAGAGAGGACGGCACCTTGAGGAACACCGGCTTTTGTAAGCAAAGGAGAAGAAGATTTGCCATTATATGCAGTATACTGCATTCTATCAGAAAAATAAGAATGCAACCAACTCTTAGCCCAGGATGCTGTGTGCGTCAAGGAGAGCTTATTTAATAAAAGGCCCCTAGGTACAGAGTCAAACGCAGATGTGTAGTCTAGGAAAGCACCACGGACATATTTGGCACCTTTGTCTAAACAAGAAACAACATTATGATATAAGACAACCGCAGCATCCAAGGTACTTCTACCATGTTTATATGCAAATTGCTTAGGGTCATTAAAAGCTTTCAATGAAGGTTCAAGACGAAGTAAAAGTAGTTTTTCCATCAATTTTAAAAAAGGAGAAGTAATTGCAATAGGCCTAAATTTACTATCGGTACCAGAAGATTGTTTTGGTATAGGGACAATTTTAATGTTTTTCCATGCAGAAGGTAGAACATTACTGGAAAAGGAAGCATTAAAAATATTAGTAAGAGGATAACACAAAATATCAGCACAGTTCCTGAGGACAATGGCAGGTACGCCATCAGGACCAAGGCTTTGGGAAGGCTTAAGAGAACGGAGACATTTAAGCACATCAAGGGTATTAAAACCATTAAAATTATTGTCTATGTGATTTGTATCATTAGGAAGGATATCGTCAGAGGAGCGTATGAAAGACTTATTAAGATTATTAACATTAAGAGATTGTACAGAATTACACCGCTTACCGCTAGTTATTTCTTTAAAAAGTTTCCATAAACTAGAAGGGGTTTTACATGACAAAAATCTTTGGTTGTATAAAACATTTAGTCTGTGCATTTCGAGTTTTATCAGAGGATTTAGCTTTTTTACACCTGACTTATCATTTGTTTTGAACAACAGTTCTTTATCTCTACGGAGCTTTTTGAGATATGGAGAAGAGAAACGGTCAAAACGAGTGAATAATGTTTCTTTAGGACAACATATTTCCAAACAGAATTTAAGATAATCTGTGGTGTTTGTGATTGTGTCATTTAATGTTTGTTCTGTAAATAGGTCCCAGTTAGTATCTATCAACATGCATCTGAGTTTGCTTAGATTATCTTGTGAGTAGCATCTCCGTTGAAATTTACTGTAGAGGTGAGAGAAGACACGTTTGTGTGATTTGGAATATATTTTAGGCAGTACACGTATGATGCAGTGGTCAGAGTTCAATACAGGAGCACGTTTGCGAGCTTCATATATACCAACATCATTGATGAATACTAGATCTAGTGTTTTTTCGAGACGGGTAGCAAAGTTAACAATATTGTCATGGCCAAGTGATATAAGGAAGGAGTGATCACAAGAGTTAAAATCGCCAGTCACTATTGATAAAGAGTTCTCGAAACAAGCTGCAGCAAAAGCGGTGAATTCATCTGCGAACATAGATAAATCCGATATGGTACAGCCAGGAGAGACATAAACATTAGAAATATAAATGAATTTGTATTTTGACAAGTGTCTCGGGCGACATCTGACAGTGATGCAATCAATGTAGTCATTCGAGAATTTGAAACAAACATTGTTAGAAATAGACCATTTTGAGTGAATAAATGTAGCTACTCCACCGCCGCATTTTTTCTTGGAACAAACACGGTCTTGTCGGAATACATTAAAATCATTTAAAGATACTATATTGTCATCATATGAGTCATGAAGCCAGGTTTCTTGTAGAGTTACAATACCAGTATTATGATAAGTTTCGGACAACAACAGGGACTGAAAATCCAGAATTTTGTTAGGCAGTGACCGACAGTTCGTACTAACGATAACCGGAACAGTAGTTTGATGTATGGGTGTAGATTTTAAAGCACGTTGCCAACCACCATGGTGCTTTTTCTTGAGTTTATTGCAAATATGAAAGTTTTTAGGTTTTAAGCATTTTATATAATCCCGAGAGTGAATGATACGATTAGAATGCATAATTTTAAATGTAAACACCAACAAAATATGAGTAAATAGATGCAAAATGTACATTGAATATGGTAGCCCAAAATATTCAAACAGGCCGCCAAGGTCAAGGTCGACAGTGAATCAGCCGGTGCGCCTTCTCAAAGTCGTGCTCAACTCCAAAGAAGAGAGGGATGTCATTCTAAGAAACTCCCAAACTCTTAAAGGATCGGGCAACATGTTCGTGCAGACTTATACCTAGCGCACCGGGACAAAACACAGTCTAAGGCCCTAGAATTAAGGGAACGACGCTGAAACAGCGAAAAACATTAAGATTAAAGGCTTTCGAGTTGTCAAACTTCGAAGTTTGATGATCCCGAAACCCCTGCGGGTGGGCCGCTGAAGCACCAAACTGAATCGACAGTTTGCTACACAGACCCCCACAGGCTGTTGAACAAATGGACTTAACTGAGTAATATGATTGACTCCGGAAATCCGGATGTAATTACCATCACACAGGCATTGCTCACACCCGATATCTTTGATGACGAAGTTAACCTGCCAAACTTCAAAGCGCATAGGGTGGACCGACTAAGCCACAAAGGAGGTGGCGTAGTCATCTACCTCAAGAAATGCTTAACCGTGTGTAGCATCGAAGCACTCTTTCACGGAAATGAATCGTGCGAACTTCTACGCTGCAGAATTAAACGCGTTGGCTAAGATATTGATCTCACTGCTATATACCGCAGTCCTGACTGCAGTGCAGATGACTTCTTATTAGAGATGCTAGGCTCCTGGACATCGAAATGTCGGAGTCTCGTAGTCGGCGACTTCAACGCCCCAACAGTTGACTGCACAAGCTTAATAACACCATCTTCAGACAACTACTCTGATCATAAACTTCTGGAATGTAGTATTTCGCTAGCCTTAGTCTAACATGTCATTAGGCCCACACAGGTAAATCAGTGGGTCCTGATGGTATTCATACAAGGTTTCTCAAGGTGCTATCAGCTCACATAGCCTCCCCACTGAGCACGATCTTCAAGCAATAGTAACCCCCACACACAAAGGAGGATCGATTCAAAGCCCTTCAAACTACAGGCCTACAAGTCTCACCAGCAATTTAATCAAGGCACTGGAGAGAATCATCAATAAAAGTATCATGGCATATCTGGAAAACAACAATTTCCTATCTGCAGTACAGCGTGGCTTCCGAGGAAATCTCTCATACCTGTCAAATCTTCTCACCGCAAGAGAAAGCCGGGTCAAATCAGGGGAAAACAGAAGACCCATCGAAGTCGTCTTCACAGACTTCAGTGAACCCTAACCAGACACAAGGATCTAAGTCATATGCACACAACAACACGCCGACCACCCATTTCGGTTATAACTATGCAGACTACATGACTCTAGCCAACCCATATGACCAAAATTTTCTCCAGCGACAACTGGCAGAAACGCCTGGGATCATGCACATAGCACATATGATGTCAGACCAATTCCTTGCTGGTATAGCAAACACCTTACAACAGGGAAACTGCTTCTTCCCCGACAGATAGCAAACACTTTATACACACCTAATACCAATAGTAATACCTTAGATTATCATACTAGTATCTCCCATAGCACGCAATATCTAAACGACCAACCACTCACGAGTGACATCTCACAACCCATCCCTAAGTATCAAACTAAAGAAAACGTCTCTAGTGATCAAAATGTTGTAATTAATGAATCCGATAACGACTGCACATATTCAGCTGATAACCATAGAGCATTTTATTATGATATTGCCCATACACTAAAACCACTTAGTCAAAGTCTATCAGTCATCCTCATAAACGCTAGATCAGTTCTTAACAAACATTTAGCATTATGTACGTTAGCCTCTATATGCAATCCGTCGCTGATCATGATCACTGAAGCCTGGTGCTCAAGTGATATTACGGATGATAGCTTATCAATTGATAAGTACAATCTTTTTCGAGGGGATAGGGAAACAGGTCGTGGGGGTGGAACACTCATATACGTCAAACAACCCATTTGTTCAACGCATTTTAGTCACCCTATTCTGTCACAACTTAATGATTCGGTGTGGGTCGAAATAAAAGTTCTCAGAAGTAAACCTATCCTTATAGGGTGTGTATACCGACCGCCATCATCTAACCGCGAATACGATAACGTACTCAGCAACGTATTCAGTGTTGCATCCAATCTTCCCTTCAGTTATAATATAATTGGAGGTGACTTCAATTTGCCTGATATATCATGGCGTACACTTCGTGGACCCTCGAGGTATGATAATCTTCTTAATTCCATCATTACAGGAGGATGGACGCAACACATAAATGTACCCACTAGGTCCGATAACATCCTTGATCTTATATTCACGATCAACGTAGCACCATCTACAATTCATGTGGGACATGAATTCCCAGGTAGTGATCATAAAATAGTTGCATGTTCGTTTAATATTTCTCCAGGAACTATACACAGAAACAAAGGGCTGGACTTATCCGGCATGTTGGTTGAAATTTCGCTCGGCAAATTTGTTTTGTCAATAGTTTTTAATAAAATTATGTTGTATGTTTTCTGGATTGATAGGAATTCTCATTTCCTGACTAGTTATGTTGGTGTCTGCGTCATTTAATCTGACTGCGACGCACTTAGCATATTGGTAGTAATGATTAGTGTTTCATGCTGAATGCGTCAAAACATCTCTACAATGAAGAAAATGGGGTAGTTGGGGGGTAATGTCATCTACACAAATAGTTTATTTCTTGTAGAAGCTGCAGCTTTCGACAAAGTGTCATTCAATGAAGACTACGTCAAAATGTGGCTATTTTCGTGTGAAGAACAGTACTATTTTACAAAAGAATGCTATCAGTACATGCGAATCACCTATAAATGCCAACAGAACATAAAACCAATGTGTAAACGAACGGCTATGGAACTGCAATCCAACATAACCGACTAACATGGACCAAAATGACCTTTGAGCGTCTCACTCCATCAATGACCTTGAGCATGCGGGATAATTTCAGCCAAACAAAGTTATTCCGACACCTATAAGACTATACACGCAGGTTGACTGGGACTTGTATCAGGACTTGATTAGATACTCTAATTGGGATTCCTACTTTACCAATGACTCCTTAGAGGAAGTCCTTAAA